AGGGTGGATACATTACGCGGTAGGTTCAAAACAGTCTTCGTTTCGTTTTTCATTATTCCCTTGTTGTGCCAATTCGTTCAACCTTCTTGCTGCAAATCATTCGCGATTGCTTGCGTCTTAATATAATTTGGACAGAGCGATTCTGTTGATGCGCTCTTTTCGGGTTCGGAGGAACAAGCATCGATTTGAAACTGGATCAGTTTTGTATGTTCGTTATAGAATCACAAATGATGCACGTGAAGACGAAATGGACGAGAATATTCAACAAGTTTCAACGATGGTCGGTAATCTGAGAAACATGGCCATTGATATGAGCACAGAAGTGAGTAATCAAAATCGACAGTTGGATCGTATTCAGGAGAAGGTTTGCGCTATTCAACAATCACAATTATTTATTTTCGTTTCCAACGTTTGCGCAAAGCGAAAAAATCCCTATAATGCAAATTAAATGTGAAGAAAATCCCTGTAATGCATATCAAGCGTGGCACTTCCACGGAATTATTTGTGATCATCATCGTATTCAATGTCATCAATCGAAGAAGCACTATTCATTCATTCATTCATGTTGGTTTTGATGTCTGGAAAGGGAAATGGGACTCGACTCGCTTGAGTGTTATCTTATCAATACAATCGATCAGTTTGGAGTAACTCTTTGAACCGACGCATTAATTTGTCAAATTTTCAGACACAATCGAATGAAGTGAGAGTGGAATCTGCGAATAAACGTGCAAATAAATTGATCACTAAATGAGTAGGTTATTGGTTGAGTTTTAATTGTTTTATCGTAAAGATTCAGTGAGGCTGACTGCATCCTCAAGTTTCCGAAGTAACCCTAGCGTTTCGTTGACTTTTCATTCATTTATTGTCAAAATACTCTCTATTTACCTATAAGTGTGCCTCCAGTAAAAAAAGCAACAATTTCAGACGCTATAGCAGTCAGGCGAAATGAGATTGTTGAGCAGACGAAGTAACGAAGCATTGCCGGTGTTAATCAAAAAACTCCTATTTTTTTTCTTCATTTGATTGAGTCATTTGTGTTCGAAGCACGTGAAAACTGCTGATTGAATCGCCTTCCGCCAATCGTGAAAGCTATCCTCAATTGAAGAGAAGTTCAGCTGATTTCTTCAGATTCAATATCGTTGATCGGAAAAATTTGCGTTGATCATTCAACAGTACAGTGAGTGCAAAAATTTTGAATTCAAGAGAAATTGCGGCTTGCATGAATTCGTATGAAATTCGCGGCGTAGTTCGTCAGCAACATCTTATCTGATAATGTTGTAATGAATACGCAGCAATATCAGTTGAGCATCGCATAGCAAAAGGTGACTTATTCAGAAAATTATTCATGTATGCATGCATGTGATTCGAACATGCACAAACGCTATCCTCAAATGCAATCGTCGTTCCATTTTTGAAGTTGTAATTTCGTTTTTGTTTTGAGACACTCTTTCTGTTCATCTCTTGATCTCAAACGTCTCGGATCGTTCCGTATTGTACCCGTTTTGTTATCAATAACAAATGTTCTCTATGAAGGATGTATATCCATCCTTGTGTAAAATCGAGTGAATTCTTCATTGAAATTGAATGTCATGTTATGACACCTTTTTGAAATTGCCTTCCTTGTCAATCCGATAGTGAAACCAAACGAAAACAGATTAGAAGATGAATTGTGATATAACTGTGTTTGTTTTGTTGTTTCTTTTCTTCGCAATCAAACAAAATTCACGAGATCAAAGGAAAATATGGAAGAAAAGTGAAAGAAAAAATGGAATCATGAAGGCAATTTTCGAGACTAATCGCGTTCCCAAAATCGCGATAAATCCAGTTAACGTGAAATCACTAATGATGAATGTTCTTGTTGATATGTATATGATGGTGTTATTATTTCCGTAATCATTATTGTCATTCTCTTAATCCTTAACATTATTTTTTAACCAATAATTCGCATAATTTTAAAATTAACTATATCTGTGCTGCAAATAATTTTGAACGACTTAATTTATTCGAAATATTTAAAATTTTTTGAACTTTGTCTCGGTTACTCAAAGGACGAATAGTGATTAATTGTATTCGCGTTTATTCATCCGTTTCATTGTTCTTTACGATTGTCGAACTATTGAATTTCTTGTTCCGGTGCGTTTAGCTCGTTGAACGCCATTGCAATAAATTCATTTCGTGGTATTCCAAGTCACCAATCTATTACACCAAATACGAAGAAGCTCCCATCCTGAATTGGAATCAGAATCACTCTGAAACAAAGTGTTCGTCTGTTTTTCCGAAGTTTATCTGAGAAATGAACTATGCATCGAGCACTTATCACTTATCATCTGATGATCTAGCCTTCAACATAACTAGTCATGCGAGG